CCTGCAGGATTCAGGAGTGAAGCTGCTCTGTGGTGGACTGGAGAGTCCACACTGCAGACTGGAAACTCTCAGGTCAGGAATCTTCTCTTCAACTTTAATGCTTTATAATGCTGTATATTCATCTGCAGAACCATTGCATGGAAGAAATGACGATAGAAAATAAGTYACATGAGATAATAAACTAGTACTAAACTAAAGTGGCACAAAGTGTTYATGACAATGATAATAGGAATAAATAAAATGGAAGTAATATTGCACAACGTATTGGTATTATTTTCTCAGTGTTCATTTATTAGTGGTCCTTCCTGACATATATTTGGTAAGACTATGACTCTCCTGTGTGTGTGTGTGTGTGTGTGTGTGTGTGCATATTTGTGCACGTTGGAATGAATGTATGACATGAAGCAACAGCAGATGTGATCATCACTGATGATTGTTCATGCTGATTTTCATGTTTTCATTCACTTGCATCCACGTTCAATCTTTAGGTGCGATTTCATTTTAAGCACAGTTTTTGTGTGTAGGTTGTCAGGCTGCCTGGTCACAGAGGAAGGTTGTGCTTCTCTGGCCTCCGCTCTGAGCTCTAACCCGTCCCATCTGAGGGAGCTGGACCTGAGCTACAATCCCCTGGGAGACTCAGGGCTGACGCCACTCTTTGCCGGAGTGAAGGACCCACAGTGGAGACTAGACACTCTCAGGTTTGTAGAGCCGAAGTCTGCTCGAAGGCTGAAAATAACTGCTATTGCTTGTTAAAAGAAAATACGATAAGTCTGCTGATTGTGTTTGTTTATCCTTCTAGTGTGGATCATACTGGCATGCACTTGTTGAAATCTGGACTGAGGAAGTGTAAGTGTGTATATGACTCGTAAATGTAAAGATTTAGTGTGATTCACTACTATGAGATCTCTGGGAAACAGATCTGGAGTCTGTGGGGCTCTCACTTTGATCTCTAACAGGGCGGAGGAGTATCACTGTGTCATCTTATCTTTGTTCTTGTTAGTTTTTTTTAACTGTGGCCATGTTTCTGGTGCGGTAAACACAATATCAGAAACACCTTTATTCTTATACTGCATAGAGTCAAATGTAATCAATTTGCAGGTCAGGATGCAGGGAGCTAAATGGTTCTGTTTCGTTCCCCCTGTCTCGATGCCTGCATCTGAACARTTTCTTGTTTTGTCTCTCAGACGCATGTCCGCTCACCCTGGACCCAAACACAGCAAACGCATACCTCTGTCTGTCTGAGGACAACAGGACRGTGACACTGGTGAAGGAAAAGCAGCCGTATCCTGATCACCCAGAGAGATTCAACGRCTGGAAGCAGCTGCTGTGCACCGATGGCCTGACTGGCCGCTGTTACTGGGAGGTAATGAGGAAAGGGTGGGTGTCTGTTGGAGTGACTTACAGAGGAATCAGACGAAAMGAAAAGGATTCCGACTGCTGCCTYGGTCTCAGTGACAAGTCATGGAGCTTGTACGGCTCCGGAGGCTTCTACTCTGCCTTCACCAACAACAGAGTCCATGGGAATCTATGCATCTGTGATCCTAGCTCTGTTTTGGAGAAAGTGGCAGTGTATTTGGACTGGCCTGCTGGCTCTGTGTCCTTCTACAGAGTCTCCTCTGACAAGCTGCTCCACCTCCACACCTTCAACYCCACATTCACTGAACCTCTCTACCCTGCGTTCAGGTTGGAGCATATGATCAGGCTCGACTCCTCAGTGACTCTTTGTCAGATTTAGGAGGGAGAGTGGACCCTGTGGGCAAACAAGGTCCCAGAGGACAAGGAACACCTRAACAGGGAGTTTAAAATATGTTATGACATGGAATCATGAGTTAAATATTCAGTGCATGCTGCAACTAACTAAATACCACCTCAGCTTACCCAAGTATGTAGGGAGCCAAAACCTGGAGGTGCAACATGGCGGACCCTGCTCCTGATGTAGATTAACTTTCTTTAACTTCCCTTTATATTTAAATACTTTATATTTACATCGAGGGGACCCTCTCTACAGAGGCCGCCATGTTATTTACATTAGTCCAGACTGGACAAACTAAACACCTTTTGAGTTTTTATGACAACTGAAGTTATCACAGGTTCTTTTTCATGTTTGGAAGGAGAGGGTGATGTGAGGKGTGTTCAGCTGCAACATGAAATTTCAACACWCGATATCACTAAATTCTACACACTGTACCTTAAAGAACATTGCTTTCCATTTCCCTTATGAGCTGGGTCCCAACAGGACCAAAGAAGTCAATCTTTACACCTCATAAATAATCAATAAATACTATAATTTCATAAAACATGTCATTTTACTTCTGGGGGAGGTTATGTTTTTGTCTGTGTTTGTTTGTGGGTAAACAGGATTACGCAACTACTGGACAGAACAACACATAACTAGGTGGAAGGATGAGTAATGGGTCAGGGGAGAATACATTATTATTTTGGTGTGGATGCAGATTGGAGGTTGTATTAAGGAATAGGATGTTTTTCAACACTTAGTTGAATTTTTTATTCATGGATCCAAATGAAAATAAAAATCAGGCTGTGGGAATACTCGGCCCACTCCGGGGAAGGACGGGAGGAGAGAAGGCGTTTCGTTCAGTCTTTTATTGCTCTCACAACTGAGCGTACACACTTCAATATACTTATAGCTGTGGCTTCACGGGTCTTGCAATCCACACTCCGGTGATACACCCCGCCCGCCAAAGTATGTGCATCCGCTCCGCTTGTGTCTCGGGACGCCAGCCTACTACAAGAGACAGAACCAGGTTACAAGCATGCTTTTATTGATTGCCCTGATTACCTGATTCTGCCCAGCTGTCGGNATAATTTCATAAAACATGTCATTTTACTTCTGGGGGAGGTTATGTTTCTGTCTGCGTTTGTTTGTGGGTAAGCAGGATTACGCAACTACTGGACAGATTAACACATAACTAGGTGGAAGGATGAGGTATGGGTCAGGGGAGAATACATTATTATTTTGGTGTGGATGCAGATTGGAGGTTATATTAAGGAATAGGATGTTTTTCAACACTTAGTTGAATTTTTTATTCATGGATCCAAATGAAAATAAAAATCAGGCATGTTTAGTGGACCGATATTTACAATTTGATGCAGATCCAAAGAAAAATCTGGATCTAATTTTAATAAGGGGCCTTGGTGGAGGTCTGTGCTCTCTGTCATTCTAGTTGACAAACGCTATGGAAACGAATCAAATGATTTTGATCAACAACAACCTGTTCTGAAGTCAGCGGTCCCGTATTTTAATGGTACATTATCAAGATAGTCACATGCACCTACATGAGCAAGTACACACCACACATACACTTACATTTTATGACCGTGAATTTTTACATGGCAAAGTTATTTTATTAGCAGCTGCAGCTTTTATGATAATTTGATCTGTTTTATAGTCAAACAATTATTGGATACTGACTCTTCTGTGTTCCATTTTCAACAAGAGGCAAGAAATAAACTCTATGGAGGGTGGATTTACTCTTGAAAAACATTTAGATTAACAGTAGACATACAAAAGAATTGAACTTCATACTTATCAGGACTTAACATTTTATTCTGTACTTTTTCAGAATTTCTGTACAATAACCAACATTTTCAAGACCTGGAAATGATCACTTTTCTAAGTAATCCAAATGTTTTAGATCCACAGAAGAACCCTGCTTCGAGAACAACACAACAGAAGCAAACAGGGAACATGGAGTCTTTACTTCAGAAAGTCTGATGCAATCCACACTTTGGCTGTCAGATCATTCTGCTAGGAGCTGCTTCTCATAATATCTTTCTAGAAAACTATAAGAGAAAGAAACAGAAATGCCCTATATTATTAATCCAAGTTGAATGCCCACCAACCTCTGCCAGGAAGCCTGGTGTTTGACAAACACACTGACAGCAGAGGCAGACTGCTTCTCTTCACCAACATGAGGCATGTAGAGAGCCACACTGGAGGGGCAGTGAAAGACAGGAAGAAGCTCACATGTGTTCATTTATCTGACACACTTGTCTCATGTTGAAGAGCTTCTCAAAGAGTTTGAGAAAGGCTGAAGATGAACGCTGGGGTTGTCCTTAGAATCATTTTGAGAGGGATTTTGGGAAACAACGTAAAGCCTATTTGAGTCAAATTAGAGTCTGATAAACCAACTCGATTACCAGGATGAAGACACTTGATTGGTTTGTGAGACTCAGATGGCTGAAGCATCATTAGGTTTGGCTCAGCTGGAATGTGGCTGTTAGATTTTCTTCCACCTTTTAGAGTCGAAAAAAGAGAGATCTGTTTACAACCAGAATGAGCAGTTGGAATGATTACATACAGATGGACCTGTGAGTACTCAATTAAGAAAGACTGTTAAAAATGAGCATCACTAGAGGCCATATAAACATTCTCACTCTTTTCCTTGAGGACACCCCTCCGCTGTGTTCAGACTACAAGCAATGCTGCCTGTCATTTCCTGTAGTGTTGTTGCATGGACCAAATAATCAGTCAGCTTTGACAAAGCGGATAAGCAAAGGCTGACAGCATTATTTCGCCTTTATAGGAGATTCTGTAACACTAGACGTGATCTGAGTCGAGCCTGACATCTAGTGGTGAAAAGGATGATTCTGAAATCACTGTTAGCTGGGAGTTTATCTGTTCATCTTCAACAAAAATCATGCAAAATAATTCTGTGTACCTTTGCACAGATGCAACCGAGGCCTCACTCAGACAGAGCAGAGCAACTTGAGTTACTTGCAGTGTAAACAAACAGAAAGATCCCCTCGTATCGCCTTCGTTAGTTCCTCCAATTTACCTGCTAAAGAACAGTGTGGTATTGTTTGTATCTCACAAGCGGCAGCTATCCATACAAATAAACCTACACATAGAAAGTTATCATCGGTTTCAGCATGACACTGAGAAAACAACAGAAAACAGACTATAAAGGTGGATTTCAATGAAAAAGACATTTCTCTAACAGCTTCTTCTTCCGCTAAACAGTCATTAACTGAGAGCTAAGCCGAACTTTATAATACACAGGAATCATTGTTATGTAGAGTCCAGAGCTGCTGATTCTATGTGGCCCACGTGGCAGAGTGGAAGTCCAGTCTGAAGAGGTGTGGTGTGGTTTCACCTTGGCCAGAGGAGACAAGGCACATGACTCAAAGCATCAGCTAGTCTTAGAATTCACAGATGAAAGTGCTCTTACGTTTTAGAAGGTGGGTAGACCAAGAGGAATAAAATGATGCTGATGCATATTGACAAAAACGAGGAGAGTTCTCCAGAGGACACCATCTTATTGAGAAATCATTTCTGTATATGACCGAGACACCACCTCGGCTAGGCAGACAAGGTCTCTGAGTTAAATGCTGTAAGAGAGGGGCACTGCATTCCTCTGCTTTTGACCACGTCTCAGTCATACAAAAAAAAATATCATGATTGGAAGTAATGAAATCCGTCCATCCATCCATCCATCATTTATACCGCTTATTCTTTTAGGGACGTATTGGGAACTGGATCCGCTCCCAGCTGACATTGGGCGAGAGGCAGGATATACAGGTCGCCAGCTTATCACAGAGCCAAAACAAACAACCATTCACAATCTCAGCTATAGTAAATTTAGTCTTCAATTAATCTAACCCCAATCTGCATGTCTTTGGACTGTGGGAGGAAACTGGAGCACCCAAAGAAAACCCATGCAGACACTGGGAGAACATGCAAACACACCGCACCACCCAAGTATTTCGATCATTGAATGAAATATGTCTTTCAAAGACTGGAGGGGGAGCTAAAGATTTTAGATGGCAGCGTAGAATGAGAAGTGATGTTAGGAGCGAATGACCTCAGCAGGGACGTGTGCTGGTGATCTCAAACAGTCATGCACTTTATGGATTGACCACAGAGGACTGGACCGCATGCTGAATATTAGCTGACGCCGTTCAGCTACCCTGCCTGTCGGGATGAATCCCATCTCTTCTGAAGAGCATGATCACACAGCAACATAAAATCGTCAATAAAATCCATGTGGAGTGGAGGCAGGGTTGCACTCCTTGACCAACGGTAGGAATGGGGCTAGAGACATGCTTTTCCACTATCATTTGAAACCATAGGGATTCATTTAGTTTTGATGGGCTCAGACTCCTGATTGTGTTGGCCCCAACATGCAGCTCTATTCTTGTGATGGACGTCAGAAGCAGATCTGTTTGTCCAGGGGACGTGTGTGAGTGTGTGAGGGCAGGGAGGAGATGTGTGCAAGCTGCCTGGACTGAGTAACAGGCACTCTGACTATGATGAGGATGGTGGTTGAGGTTGGAGGGTCTGTGTAGGTAGGAGGCCAGGAACCTTCAGCTGAGGAAGCCCTCTTTAGCATCTGTTGACAGCTTCTTGCAGCATTCTACGCTGCTTTGTCCCGGTCAAGGAGTAGCGAGCAGTCTGTTCTACTGCAGCAACGGGTGGTTGAAACGCAGAGGTGAGTCTGCTCAATCAGGTGGAAGTGAGATGGCAGTGGCATCACCAGGATGGACCAGAGCCTCATCACTGACATAAAGCGGTGAGAGAGAACTAAAGGTGGAGGGGAATGGAGGGAAGCTCTCCCCCCAACTAGACAAAATATATGACCTCTGACCTTAATGGGTGGGAAGCCAGTTCAGTGCTGGTGTGCATCAAGGCTGGCCATTGGAGGGCGGGTGCAGAGGCAGAGACCAGCTGTGACACCGGGGTGGAGGGCGATAGGGCCACAGCACCAGCAAGGCTGAAGGATTGCGTATAAGAAGTATGCTTTTGTCTGGGCTGCCTTAAACATAGGTGTTGCGTTCTCTTTTGTGATTTTGTTCCTCGACTGTAAATGAAACAAAAAAAGGTCCCTTTGTCTTTAGTTATCGGCCTGGCATTGAGTCCAGAACCGCCCTGAGAGTCAGGGCTGGGAGCTGCCCTGGCTGTCAGGGTCTGTCCCTGAGGAGCTGGTGTCTGAGTCTGAGTCGTCATTGTTGTGGTCACCCTCTGCCAGGCTTTTCTCCCGTATTTGCCTGTGGGTGGTGCTGAGGCGAGCCAGCAGGCCCTGGTAGTTGAAACGACCACGCTTCTCGCCAAATGGGTCCTGGGTAGAGGAGACAGAGAAGTAAACCAACAGAGAGAGGTGAGACAGACAAAAACACCAGGTGCAGATGTTAAACCGAGGCTGCTTATATCTGGCTACAGGTATAATCAAACATGCTACCGTTGGTATAAGTCTATGTAACTGAGCAGGAGCTGCAGTTATCCACTGATGATCCAATGTCCCAGCGCTGGCACACACCACCAAATAATGTTTACTGATTTGATGCCAAGACGCCCAATTAGAGCCTCAAATCTGCAGCATCATAACATTAGCAGTCCATTTGATTTCATAACACTATGCATCAGTAGGAGATATTTTATAATTTTTCAACTGTGTTGGGAGCCCTCAGGTCCTCTTTATTGTGGTTTAAGTGCAACAAGAAGAAGAATCTGGTCAATCACAAGACACACCTACGGCCTTGTTTTAATAGAGCTGTGTAAATTAGTGAAACACAAATGAGCCACTATCGTTAAAATATTTCAAAATTAAGACAAAGTATTCTACTTTTGCGTCTTTCTGCATTTTAATCTTCAAATTAACTCATCTGTGAGCACAAAACTGAGGTAAATACCAAACTGTACTGACTCAGAATGGTTTAGGACAGTCAAAGCAGTGATATACATCCATACAACATTTCTGCTTGGATTTAATGCCGATAGCTTTAAATGAATTCCCACAATATTTGTATTTGTTCAAATATAAGTTGTCATTAATTTCAAAAGTGTAAAATGAGCAGATAAGAAAAAAGTGGAAAAGAAATAAATGTAGATACCTGCATGTTCTGTCCCTGTAGATGCAGTCTCTCTTTACAGACTCCCTCATAGAAATCGTAGTATTCTAGGAAGGACTTCTCCATCACACTCCTAAAAAACACACATTCATTCATCATTTCAGTTTTTTTTCCAGTGTTGTTGTGTTTCACATAAAAAGAATGCAGCAGGAGATTCTCCGGTCAGACGCCCTCACAACAACAGGAAAATCTCCAGAACATGTGGCGTCTGGGTAGAGCTTTCAGAGAGCAGGACATGACCTGAGACATCAGAGAGCAGTAAATTCCGCTGTGTTTTTTGTTTCCAGCACATTGACACCAACTTTAGCCCTTATCAGCAAAAGCTCTCAAATCTCATAGTTTCTACAAGCTCAAATCTTCATCTACTGCGTGAACGGCCCCTCTTTTTCATTCTGGGATATTTGTTATCTTTCTTGGGTTTTTTCAGTTTAGGGGCATCGTGAGTCAATACACCAGCTCGCTCACTGGAAATTCTACAGACATAATCCTTCTGTTTCTCACATGGGCTCGCTCGGACATTATCCAGAGTTATTATTTAAGGGTTCAGAGGAGAAACTCCTGATATAGTCCAGAGGAACTTACGTGGACATTTTTACGTTGTCACATACAGCCCCTCCAGATAATTTCAAGGTAATATCTTGAGTTCAGTGTATGTCTAAAAGTAGCTTAAGGTGATAAGCACCAGGAAGAGAGGAGTGAAGATAAAATATGGTAGAAATATATAAAAGAAATACAAACATATTACAGAAATGAAAACATATTACAGGTGTAAGAAAAGACAGGATGAATCAGACATTTATGTTAGGTCCTGTTGGTATTAACATTTGTCTTGAGTGATCCGATCACAAATCAAAGTTCGTCTGTTCACACTTGGCTTCAGAATGTTTCTCAACTTGTCTCCAGTTAGCTCTTGTGTTGAAATCTCACTTCCCCACTCTTCATGCTAATAAACACTCATCATTTCTGTTTGAATGTAAGTTTCTGTGTGTCGCGGTAGAAGAGAGAGAGTGGGGCCAGGAGGAGCTGAGCAAATGAATGCACTGCACAGATCTACTATTGAATAAGGTGTGGCTCATATGTGGCAGTGGCCAAAAAACAATCAATATGTTTAGGTGGTCCATCAGTTTGGCCCAGGACACATAGGTGCATTCATATCTGTCCTTAGAGCTGTTCACTTGGGATCAGATCACTCAGGATGGATTTTTATACAAAGTCTGAACCGGGCTGTAAGTCTCACCAGAGAGCTTTTGGACAGGAGACTTTGCCCTCCAGCATGTCACACACTGCCACCCTCATGGTTTCATGGCGGATGCACTCGTTGTAGTTCTTACTGTCTCCTGGGTGGTGCTCCTGAAAGACACACACACACACACACACACNCACACACACACACACACACACACACACACACACACACACACACACACACACACACACACACACACACATATATACAAAAAAATTAGAAAATTATAAACCCTTGACCCAAAAAAAACAAAAGAGCTGTGATTCAAATCAAATTGGTCAAACGCATCTTATGCCATCCAAAATACTAAATGATACCCTATATAAAAGAGATTAAAAGCTCCGTGAAAATGTCAGCTAATAATAAACAAATGTTTGTGAGAAGAAGAAACAGAATCAGCAGATTGAGAAAACTGAGACAAGCTGCTTTTGTTTGACAAGTAAGACGTTGACAAATGGTACAATTAAATATATAGATGATGTTAGGCATGTGTATTAACATTAAAAAATACACATCATTTGTGAATTGCCATAGTTTCAGACTTTAACTCCTCCTGGAAAAACATTTTTTCACAGCACACAGTAGTCTTTCCACTCCTCAGCTTGACGTAATGCATATTGCTCAGGTGAGTAAGCAAAGTTGGACACTACTTTCCATGATGCATTGTGGGATACATTGAGTCTATAAAGGGGATAAGAATTCTGACTTAACAGTCGGACCACACCACAAAATAGTGTCCTCACTGCATAGTGAGTGATTTAAAACAGCCACCCATCTTATTTTAATTTCTTATATTATGTTGCAAGTAATGTATGACAAATTTAAAGACATTTCCCAACTCATCAATTAAACCCTCGCCCATTTTCAAACAATGTGCATCAACTCTATCTTAAGTCACAAACACACCGTACCTGTTCAAAGCCAGGTTCATTGTGATAGGGGTTCTCTGTCATCAGAGACTGGATAGAGATGAGGACAGATGAGATGCTCTGAGCTGGACTCCATGCTGGGCCAGTCCATGTCCTGCACACAAACACACCTTACAGCACTATATACAAAGTTACAGTAAAGTCACTTATCTCTCATCATGACTGTGCATCCTAGATGGATTCCTGATGAGACAAAAAAAAAAATCCAGAATTTGAAAGGAATGACTAAGACTTACCCCAAGATGCTGAGGCAAACCTTGCCATTGCGGTAGAAGTTGGGGTTGAAGCGGACTGTGTTGTGTCCCGTGGTGATGAGCTTGACCCGGGGTGGGTGGATGGGGTAGTCGGGTGGGCAGCGGAACAGGAAGAGAAAGAAGCCGCCCTCATATGGTGTGTCAAATGGCCCTGTGATAAGGGCATGGATCTGTGGGGAATAAGGGACATTGTAAGAGGTTGGTTTAATGGACAGAAGGTAGGAAGAATCTTAGATTAAGAGATTGGTGGGTTGAATAAGAGACCATGAGAAATGTACATAGGCAGAGAGGGATGCTGGAGACAAAGAGGTCATGGAGCAGAAAATTTGACCTAGAAAAACACTGACAATATCAACATCAAAAAAACTCTGAGAGAAGCAAGGGTACAAGTGAGGGCATTGACAAGTGTCAGTGATCCCCAGACCTAAAAATATCACTCCTACCACATTATTTAATAGAAGCCCTTTTAAATAATGTGGTAGGAGTGATACTTGACTATACTGGTTTCAACACATGTTGAACTGGAAAAACCCATTGTGGCAGTGACAGTGTGACACATGCTGGAAACAAACAAGGAATCTTTGAGGAATTTAACATAAATTAAATACAGACGTCAAGTAACTGGACACATGCAACTTTGGTGAGATTTCATTATGAATCAACGCTTCACTTCACTCACAAGCTTTTTCCTGGAGCTTTCACATGCAACTCTTGGTCTTTGTTGGCATAAGGATGGAGTTTTCTCAATTGTCATGGAAAATGCTTGGTTATGTGCTAGTCAGTATGCCAGCTGAACCACCTCCATGACATTCTGGGCAAACTCTATCTGGCAACAAGATGTAGATGAGATGTGGTAATTCTGTGAAATTCATTTTTGTATAATATATATTTTTGTATTTTTTTTTATACAGAAGAAAATGTTATTGCTGCAGGGTTTTGATTTAGGTTCGATTCTTGTTGGGGCAAGATAACCCTCGAAAAACAAGGGGAAGGAAGAAGAGGTGAAATGGGATTGGGCCTTAATTTGGCCGCATCAAAGCTGTTGCCACGGAAATACAGAGCAAAACTTTTTCACCCAAAATATCAAAAAGGACCACTTCACTGCCTGATTAGCATAACTGTGAAGTTTAATCAAATAAATTCTGTTATGTTTTTGAGTTCAGCTCAGGAACCAAAAAGGACATAAAGGTGCTACTGCACCCTATATGAGGACAATGAATTGAGGGTTGTCTTATATTTCACATGTACATAGTATTGCAGAATACCAATAAACTCACACCACTGTAGAAAATCTAGAGACGGGACTCAGATGGATATTCCTTTAACGCTATATTCACCCACAGCCGAGAGTCAAGCACCATTTGACTTGCTTAACATGACGACACGCCACTGAATTGTAGGGTTCTTATTTATTCTTCTAGACTAACACGTGTCAAGTCAATCTATAGTGCACAGTATACCAGCCTATAAAGTGTTCAGTTAGTCAACTTTAATCTGCACATGTCTTTGAAGGCTGGTAAAACACGTTCTGCCACCACTGAGGAAATAAATTCACGTTGAGAGAATGGAGTTCTTAGCATCTGGCCCACAGCTCGTTCTCATGCATTCCTGTCCTCCACATGAGAGAAGATGCACTTCAAAATGATTTACTGCAAATCTTGTAGACTATTTTGTATTGTGCACTGTGAGCACATGTGGTTCACTTTTCTTCTTGCTAATGTCAGAGAGTACATCAATCCTGTGACTGTTTTTTATAAATGTTAATATACGTGATGATAATTGCTGGACAAATGTTTATGAAAGGAAAGGACAAAATAGTGTCCCACAATGTCCTGCAGCAGCCACTTTTAAAATGACAGACTCACCTTTGTAGTTTCACACCAGCAGATGCATGTAAATGTGGTCCCAACAACAAAGCACGTATTTTACTCGTTCAGCTCTTGGCTGAGCTCCATATCTATACTTAGATGATTTTCTTTTCTTTAAAAACCACAGTCAGGTGCAGTGTTGAAGAACTAACTTTTCTTTTTAACAATATCATCATCTTAACACATCCATCAATGTGTTTTCTCTAAATCTCCATTGTGGAATTCACTCCATTGTGGAATACTTTACGCTACAAGAGTTCACTTATGTCTAAAGATTATTTACTCTTTTTATTTCAATGGCTCAATACTGTCTACTTGTATCTTCTTTATTTCAACATTTCAATCCTTCTCATTTTTTATTCTTGAATTATTGTTTTAATATTTAATTTGCTGTATCTCCCTGATTTTGAATTAGAAATATGATATTTACAATTTAAAATCCAATCGGTGACATTAAGATTATGTCTATAAACCTCTAACTCTCTGGCTCACTTCTTTAAACATTTTTTGAAAGGTACTAGGGTTGTATTGATTATTTAAGTTACTCAAATAATTCAATTCCGAACATTCCTCGATTCAACCTATTTGCATCAAAGTTTTGTTTAATTGATATAACTATGTTTTGTGGAGCAGTCACTGTGTTTTGAAGCCTGTGTGGGCAGCCTCACTCTTGTTGTGTGCCTGAAGGTGTGTCACCATTTCACGTGAATTTTTTAAACTGTACTTTGTCTAGACACAGTTTCATTATGATCAGAAAAAGTTTGACACTTCTCATAATAAAATATAAGATCCCTGACTCTGTGTTTATTACCAGTGTTTTATGTGAGCAGCTGCACCAGTCTCTCTCCCTCTTTCTTACAGACGTGAGCGTCTGTGTTGAGTCTATGTTGACTAGCTTCCAGAACCTTTAAATGTCTTTTGGCACCAAATTCTCTGTGTGGTGTTGGTCAACTGTCCTCAGGTGATAAGACTCTGCAACTCTGCTCTGCTGCTGCGCGGAGCAGACACAGTTATGGTCTAAAACAAAACTTATCATTTAAACAAACAATAGTAAGACATCATTTATTGATATCTCTATATTATTTTGCTCTTCTTCAGCTTTAGATCAGATATTTACAATTTCGATCTTAGTTGTGTACTTTGCTGATGTGAGACCACAGTGATATTGCTACACCAAACTCAGATGAACGCCTATCACTTGTGATCGTATATCTTAGGACGGATGTTAATACAAGGTCTGAACAGGGCCATAGTGGGAATGTTTCGTCAGACATGACCCCTTACCTTGGTCATGTCTTGAGGATCAGGGACGACAAACATCCCTGGGGGAGGTTCCTTGTAGATTGACATGATATCCCTGCAGGGACAAAGAGAGAGTGTGAGGGAGACAGGTGAGGTCTCCACTATGGCAGAGTGATCAGAAAGAGGCGTCCACAAAGATATACATCACTGAAGCATCTGTTAATAACAAATACTTTCCCAGAAACAACCTTGCTGTCAACGTTTATCAATGGGACTAGTTGTTTAGTTGAAGAAGTTGCACATGGTTCAAACTTTCCACAAGATTCTCCTGAGTAACTTCCACACAACTTGTGATGGCTGAGTAGATACTACAAAGAGGAAGTGAAACATTACAACCATCTTTGTAATTTGGGTGAACTGACCCTTTAATATATAAGTCCCACATAACACGTGTTGAATGTAAGTGTAGATCAAAACTAAGTTAAACAGCAGGTTCTCCTGATATGATCCTGATGTGGCATGTGTGTCCGTTTATTAAGATTAATGTATTAAAGTACGTGATCACAGAAACTTTATAGAAGGCTTTCACTTTCATTTTTACTCATCGTTGAGTTTTCGGGCCGTCTACTCACCTGGAAATTGCCACATTTTTGTTTTGGAAATCATTGCACTTGTTATTACCTCTTTATCCTCAAGATGCACTGCTGGGAAGCCTTCTCGTTGTCCCAGTCCGTACTGAGGGTCGGGTCCCAGGGCGTGGCGTGGATTTGGGAAAGGAGGCCCGCTCCTGCCACCCCGCCGACACCCAGCGCGATACCGGGGAGAGGCGAGGAGGCGTGTAAGGTTGGAGACACGGCCACGACCGGTGGCAAAGTGCCGGGGATGAATGTGTTGCCAAGCCCGGCAGGGATAGCAGTGACAGCGGACATGGGGGCCACTACAGCAGTTAGGCCACTGTGCGCGGCCGCAGCGGGAGGGGGAGAGGCCGGGTTGGAGTTGGGGTGGTCACCGGTGGCTACCGAGTCTCCCCCGGGGAGAGAGTTGACCAGAGTCGGCAGCAGCGAGGCTCCGCTCCCGTGTCCGATGACGCCTGAGCCAAGGGCACCGCCGCTGGACTCCTCTCCGAAGCTGTCCGCCATGGCTCTGAAGCTAGCAGGCTAAAGCACAACCGTCGGTGTGGAGAGCCTGACAGTGCTAATGGTTAGCTAACGTTAGCTCAGCTGACAGCTAAGTTACCTCCGCTTGTTTTCTCGGCCTGTGGGATCAGAGAGCAGTCACCCGGGGCGGAGGTGAGGCCACGAAAGACGGCATTTCTTCCCACGACATGGTGGCTACTTGTGGTTAGCTGAACTGCATTTGTCCCCAGGCCTCCCAAAAGTAAGAGGAGGTCAGAGAAATGGCTCAGTCTACCTCGCTCCGGCTCGTCAGTCACTCCAGCGCCCGGTTGTTGTCTGTTTATCGGGACGTGGTGTCAGAATCAGGCGTTTTAAACCGACCACTTCCTCCGAAGTCCGTAAACACAGCGCAACTTCAGGATGTGATTTCTCAACCACCACACTCAGCGGTAACACACGCGACATCCGGGGCGGCCTTTCACAGTAAAGGTCCCCTTTGATCGTTTCATTAAGTTGTGTAATGTTGAAAGTGCTACGTGACTATCAAAGTAAAATATTAGATTATTAAATTATTAGTGAAAGATTGTTACATATAGATCGACTGAAATCATTTCATAAATGGCACACCAGCATCTGAGACAATATTGTGGGTGACAGCTTCCACTACGCTCAAAGCTTATCAGACTTTTGAAAATAATATTGAGCAAATCAAGAAATAATACTGAGGGGTAAATAATAATATAAAAGTAAAGCTCATCTGTTTCTGCGACCTTCAATTTAGAGGACTTAATTGGTCCGCTCAGTTTTGACAAAGTTTTCACAAACAGGACCAGAGTCCACCACATTCAAATTCTCCTCAGTGAAGTCGGGTGTTGTTTCACTGGAGTGCATCAGTTCAGATCACAAGGTACACTACAATCACCACAGGAGAAAAGAACGTGTTTTGATTCTCACCAAGCACCGGTCATACACATAAATCATACATCAGTAAATGACCCCCCTGCAAGAACCTCACAAAAGCTAAGATTTTATTTGTCCCAGATCAGGACAACAGTATAAATTCATTTCTGAGGAGTTTTGGTCAGAGAGATGAGTATAATCTATCAATCCATCCATCATCTACCGCTCATTCTTTTGAGGGTCCCGGTGGGAGCTGGAAACAATCCCAGCGGGTGAGAGGCAGGATACACCGTGGACAGGTCACCAGTCAACCACAGGGCTGACATACAGAGACAACTTCTCACTCACATTCAAGCCTAGTTAATTTAAAGTGTACAATTTCACATAACACCAATCTGTAGATCTTTGAGCTGTGAGAGGAAAACCAGAGTAACTGGAGAAAGCCCATGAAGACAGGGGGACTAACTCCACACTGAAAGATCCCCAGGATGCGAACCAGAAACTTTTTTACTTTGAGGCAACGATGCCCTATGACCATTATCTAATGGACAGCAATTATTGTAATTACATTTTTGACTGGTTTTAAATAAAAACCAGGGCTCCTCAGTTACACCACTTTGTCACAGTCATGTTTCATAGTCATAACTGAGGACAATCAACAATAATGCTGCTGTCACCTTTATTTATTACTGCATATGGTAATCATATATCCATAGTATGAACCAAAACTGTAATGGTCTGCTTTATCAACATACTCATATGCTTCATGCAGTATTCTAGATTTTATTTTTAAATTTTCCCTCCATTAGTAAGATGTCAGCTCAGAAAAGTGATTAATTCTTCAACTGAATGGAAACATTAGCCAATAGGGAAACAAATATTTGATTAATTAGAAGAAATATTTGCCATCTTCCATTTTTCATACAGCACACTCAGGAATGTCACCACTTGCTGTCACTGGAAGAAAGTTACATTTTAACAATTGTCACCTGTAGTAAAGAGCCTCAAATTATGACCCTTCGGACATTACATGGGATGTGCCCGCATGAAAAAGACAAAAAGTTAGATATGAATTTCAAGTATAGAAGAAAGAAAACTCAAAGCAGATAGCTTAGTTATCCCAACCATTTATTCTGGACAGATTTTTTCAACCGAAGTGAGGTCTTACATAAAACTTCAGAAAAACAAAAATAAGTGTAGGAACATAAAAATGTAGGATTGGAGGTTTTTTATCCTCAGATCTTTAACATTGTTTTCCCCCCTGTTGATTGGAATGGCCCATCAGCTCAGTCAGAGTTCCCGTTCTGGAAACCCTCCGCCCCCACCTCTTCAGATGGAAGGAGGGGAGGAAGGGAGAAGGGAGCAGGGAGGGGAAAGGAGACAGAAGGAGGGCAAGGAGGTATAAGTGAAGGGAAGAGAGGTGTGGGTGTGCTTCCACATTTACATGGCGAACAGGATGAGGAACGCCACCATCAGACAGAAGAGACCCATAGCCTCAGACAGAGCAAAGCCCAGGATGGCATAGGAGAAGAGCTGCTGCTTCAGGGAGGGGTTCCTGTGGAGGACAGGAAAAAACAACCAGTATCAGCCTCAGCAAAAAGCATAGAACACAACATGGATAATCAATTACAAGTGTTACTGACCCTGTGGTCACTGCCAACAGCTGTTTTGCAGTTAAATTCAGAATTTCACAACTGTTACCACATGTAGAAGATGAGTCATTTATTTGTAGCCTTTTTGCATCTACAGTGACAACCAAATGCTTCCTGTATATGAGTGTTAGTCAGACACATTAGTATAAAAGGAGCCAAAACGCTCATGTGGATGAAGCCTAAAGAGACGTTGATTCATTTTGGAACCTGTAGTTTGTTTTGCACAGTGTCTGCTGTTTGAACAGATTAGACAGAACACCTGTCAACGTGATGCAAGGCAGTTCATCAGTACAGCAGCTTTCAACAGGAACAGTTAAATGTGTTTAATCCAACATAATGAAAGTCAGTCGATAGTGTGCTCAAATGTTTATCACAAATCATCCAAATGGCTGATGTGAAAAATGTTACCTGGCATAGCCAATGATGAGGCTGCCGAACACTGTTCCGATTCCAGCTCCTGAGCCGGCCACACCCACTGTGGCAGCACCAGCACCAATGAACTTGGCGGCAGTGTCGATGTCTCGAGAGACAGCACTGGTCTGGAAGGAGCGAGTTGCGACTACAGACTGGCTGAGTGGCAACAAGGCCTGGGAGAGGAGGGGAGAAAGTAGTTATTAATGAGTCTAAATGATTATTCAGACTAATGATTGTGAGAAACAAGACTTGACTTTGATTTATTTCAAAACTACGATGTAAGTGGTTGATCTGAGTGGAGGATATGAAAAAAACAACCTGCTGCTCAACTGTGGCTTCAGGTCTGTTGAAGAGGGAGACTGAGACTGGCCGGGCGAGGACTCTGGACCCCCCACGCAGCTGCAGACAACACAGAAAAAGAAGAACACATTAAAACTCAACTAACAATGAGAAATTGTGCATCCTCCCATTGATTTTCTATTGCAACAATCAAAATAGGAGAGGCCTCAACAACTAATCTCAGCAAAAATTGAAGCCTCTACATGTGATTTCATGCCTTAATTAATTGAGAGAAGCAGTAATGTGAAACGTAGGACCCTTTCAGAAATGACCTGCAGGTAACATCTGAAAAATTGGCTAGAGTACACATGCTAACCATGCACAACGCAGTTTGCCTTTTACACATGCACAACGGAGTGGGAGGTTCTCTACGCACACAAGGGCGAGAGGTGGAGAGGCTAGGTGCAGCAGACAGAGGCAGGAAGTGATGTATTAATGCTGCTGCAGAGATCACATGATTTTCTTTACACAGACACCGGTGTCGGCTCTTATCACCACAAACTCTCCTGGGCATTTGTCTGCGTCTTTTGCATGTATGACACCGCTTTTTCAACAGGAAAATGAACAACTTCATACCAGGAGACCAGGCGGAGAAAGTTCGCAGAGACTTGCAAATGTTGAAAATGTTCAGTTCAAGTACATTTTATCAAAATAACACTGCATCACACATGCATCTCCTTCAGAGAAAATATGGAGAGTTCAGTGCATGACTGAAAGCAACTATACAAAGTGTAATGAGTGCAAGAAGCTCACAATTCTGAAACTAACCAAAGAGAACTTTAATTAATAATGATTAACCCTATATATTTGCATTTTAACTTTCTGTTTATTGATTGAACAGCTTATCGTCTGAGCTCTATACAAGTATTTCTACAATCAGAGTATCCATTCAACACAACCCTGGCACTACACTACGGCAAACCTGTACTGTGGTGATCAGCGAGTCAGATTTAAATTTGGAACTGTGTCCTCCACAGCATGTCCCTGAATGAGATGGCCAGCTTGCTGCAGGGTCAGCTGACATGGAAATGCCACAGCCTATGCAATGGTCACAAAGCATCAACCCAGTGTGGCCACCCTCCACTGACAACTCAAGTTAAGTAACTGTGTCCTTGAAGTCAACAACTGATAGCTAAAAGTTGATGTAGCCACACTGAAATTCAACGATTTTTGCTTCAATGGGTTGTTTTGTACCGATTTTCACAACCTAATATACGTGTTGAGTGATTACTCTTAGACATAGGAATATTAGATCCAACTTTCAAAGCTACATCAGTTCCTCAGCTGTAAACGTAATTAGATGTTCAAAGTTGGACAGCTGACGTACCACAGCAGGTGAGGTGACAAACTTGGCGCAGGCATACATGGCTGGAACCTGGGGAGAGAAGAAACACAACATAAGTGTCTTCATACATGACAGATGAAGCAGTTGATTCAGTGACCTGATTAACATCAGTCATGTTCACATTAACCTGGAGCTTGTCAAGTTGAAAGGAAAGAGAAAAAAGAAAGCATGACATCTAGTTGCCATGACAGTTGTATAAGTGCTTGTATAACATGGACATAAACAAAGTCTACCAATCTTACAGAGTTACACCTTAGCACAATGTGTACAATACATCAATCCATGTCACAGGTTATAATGGTTTCTACTTTTCAAATTCGTGTGCAGCCTTGAAGTCTGAACAGATGATTCAAAGAAGGCTGCAGCTTCAGTGTGTTGCTGCAAGGTTAAATCACATTCAGCTCAGGGTCAAAGTACTCACATGCTCGTGGAAATAGATTTCATGTGTATAAAGTCATGCTTTCAAAAACTTAAATTATGTTCCACCCTGGTGACAGTAATCTTGAGTATGCAGTGGTCCTTGTCAAGCAACAAGTTCCCCAAGGAGAAGTGCATCTCTGCTCAATGGCTCCTGACCAGTTCAGTCAGGGAGCTAATCCAATTGCATCGACTACAGCGAGGATCAGCTCCAGACTAAACCGCTAAACGTCCACACACATGCTGCCGAATGAATGGCTTCAACACTCCCTCACTTTCAGACGCCATTAGCTGCAACCTGGACGACATGTCCGTTTGCAAATTTCACCTGTTTCAGGATGTGCAGTTTGATTAATAACTACACGTGGAGGAAGAACAGACACGATTTAACTATATC